AGGACCTTATCTGGCCCACTCATAAACAATAATGTTGGCTGTGAATTAATTCTGCAGTTCAGTACAAAATCAGTCTCCTTGTTTTCACAAGCTCCACGAAATTGTTTTGATTTACTTCTTGGCCCATCTTTCTCCTTTCTGACCTCCTCCTCTTTTATTTTTTGGTTCGGTTTGTGTTTTGTTTTTTTTTAAATCTGCTCTATTCAGGCCTTGTCTTTGCAGCATCTGCCTTCAGGAACAGCACTCCTCCCTGGTATCATTCCATCAGCCCCAGACAAGACAATACACATTGACTGCAAGTCTATGTATGCAATACAATGGCAGTGTTACCTGCCTAAACACTGAGTAAAACTGAATAAAGAGCATTTAGTCCTCAGTAAGTATGTGCTTGGTGAGGACTGCAACCTGGGGCTGCTTTTGCTACTGCATATACAGGAAATCAGTGTTTTCCTCTTGTGTGTCTTTGTTTTACGTGCTGTTTTCTAGTGACAGTGCTGATCCTACACGTTTGATTAAACATCCCAAGACTGTGTCAACACACAAAAAAAAACAAATTAACAAAAAACCTGAACAAAATGATAATAAAAAATAAAAACCCATCCAAGAATCTTGCTTTTTACTGGTGAGGGAAAAGGGGAGGGGCCAAATCCAAAGAGAATTGTGCCTTCCACATCTTCACTGTTCAAGTCTCTTGAAGGCAATGTGGCCTCATGTACACAGATCCAATTATCAAGTGTTTAGGTGTATCATCAGTGAGGAATCTATGATTGCTATGAATTACAGGACAAAAATAAATGTTCTGTCTTGGTTAATCTGTTACATGACAGTAAATTTTGCATATTACTTATGTTGTCTTTTTATTAATTTAAAGTGTATACCCAGACTGCAAAGCATTGGTAAGGAAAACAATTTCTGAGAAACCCAAGTTAAAAATATAGTTATTGTAGGATTAACCTAGAGGTTGAACGGTTGACTGTCTTGAGTTGCAGTTAGGATTTTATCACAGTAAAGAGAACTCTTTGTGAGTTGCCTTATGAATTAGATGCTTCTAAATGCCAGACTTGCCTGTATCCTAAAGTACATTTCCAAATATTTTCCAAAATTCTGAAGTTGTAACATCCACTTTCTTAGCAGATGTACCTGTTACTCAATTTCTCCGTTAACCCGAGAGATTTTGATATTCCCCTACTGTGGCTGTGTTCAGGAGTGCTTAGCAGAGAATCACATATTAACTGTAAGAGCATATATTGCATCATGAAAATGAGAAGAAAATGGAGTCCAGGATGTAGATTGTTATTCTAGAGGCTTCATTGACTGTGTAGGGAGTCTAAAAGCTTGATTCAGGGATCAGATTAGAAGGGCAAAGTTATAGAGCGCGAATACCTCCCCAAATGTGTTAAAGTAATATTGACGTTTGTTTTCTTTTAATCTATTGCAAATATTAAGTCCAGTGGCAAAAAGAAAGTTAGCAAAGCTGAACAACTGAGATTGCAGAAAGAAGAAGAAGAAAGGAGGCTGAAAGAGGAAGGTACTGTGCATTTCATTTACAGGGAATATGATGGCACGAATCACTTAGTTTAATTAAAGGGACAGAAAGTAATCTCTCAAACTAGATGTGCTCCAACATCTATCTCTATTTCACAAATCCAGGTGATTCATCCCTCTTTTCTAGTGTGGGTCGAATTCTGTGCTGCTTGTTACCACCGCCCATGTCTCACTTTCCTATTAGAGCCATACTCTTTTCTCTAGTTTCTTCCACAGTGATTAGGAACTTGAGAAGGAGGATGGCTGAAAGAATTAAATTATTTTTTTCGTCTCTTACCATTAGCTTTTGAAATATTCTCAGCAAGTTAGAAATGCAGTGTTTTGTGGTTTTGTTCCTCCCTGCCCTTTCATGCCTAGTTATCGGTAGACAAGAGAAATTCTCTGAAAAGAACTTTTTGCAAAGAAGGCTGACAGAACACTTCTGTTGGCCAGGGGCTAGCTGGTGTTCTGAAGGGGTAGCAGATAAGGTGACTACAAACTGGAATGGATTAAAGTGTAGTTTGCTTGGTCTTACTTCTGTCTCTACTGAGTGACTGGTTCCTCCACCCACTTCTTCAAGATCTTTCTATTGTATATCTGTCACGTTTTGAGGTCAAAAGACCAGTCTATCAGCTCCCAAGTCAGGGGAGACCCTTGGGTCCGACTCCCCCTGCCTTCTCTTGGCAGCTCAGTAGGTCGGAGGGTGATTCACCCACTTATTAAGGGATCGTCACTAGTAGTACTATGGGCCAACTCCTTATAATAATTCAAAAGTTTCTGGAAACATGCATATATATTTTATTTGTGACAGAATACAGGTTCGAGGATAGCCGGTGATAGTGACTGACTACAAAAACAACTTTAATTGAAATACTGCAGTGATAATATAAAACGATTACTGATCAGTGATAATACTAAATAGCTAGCAAAATGTTAGTAAGTAATTAAGTAAGTGCACATAACACAGAGTTCTTACCCAATAGGCGTCCCTATGGGGGGGAGAAGAGAGGTTCAGCCCGTCGACTGATCCCAGACGTTCTGGTGGGGGGGGCTTCTCCCTAACATCCCCTTTGTTTGCCGCTATTTTATACTTTTTTCGTATCTTTTAGGTGGAGCTCGAGTGACTCTAGTCATACATAACTTTTATTAGGATTGGTGTAAATTGCTCATTTGAGGGGTGGTCGCAGCTCGGAGGCGGGTGGAGGTGTGACTTCGTAGCTGAAGGACACAATTTCGCCATCACTGCTGAGGCAGCGGTTGTGATTCACTTTCCTTGATGGCATTTTTATGGTTATCTTTACCAGGCGCCTCTCATCCCTGATAACAGGGATGAGCCGTGATACCTTTGTATCACTCTACTCCCCATTTCAAGGGTATTGCTTGGGCCTTGTTTGTTGTTTCTTGTCCCCGATAACAGGGCTGAGCCATGATACCTTCGTATCACTCTACTCCCCATTTCAAGGATATTGAGGCCTTGTTTGTTCCTGAGAGCAGCAGCTGTGCTTCATGTCAGAGCTGCTCTAATATTAGCTGAATTCTGGGGAACAATATTCTCCCATTCCCCTCCAATTTCAGTCATTTTCCCACAATATCACTGTATCCCTTGAAATTAAGTCCCAATTGCATGACTTGACCTGTCCTCCCCATCTGAATTTGTCCACTTCTGCCATTTAGTATCACAACCCAGTACTCCTGTCTCAACATCAGATCCATCTCTTCTACTTCCCTTTCTGCCATTAATCCATCCTGGTGGGGGGTTGGGCATGCTATGACTGCTAGTGATACTGAGTAACTACTAATCACTAGTAACCTCTGTGGATGAGCGTGACTGCTCAGGTGAGTACAGGCAGATTTGGGAACTGATGTTGCTCTTGCCTCCGTGAAACACAGATCATAGAATCATAGAATGGTTAGAGTTGGAAGGGACCTCAAAGATCATCTAGTTCCAACCCCCCTGCCATGGGCAGGGAAACCCTCCACTACACCAGGCTGCCCAAAGCCTCATCCAACCTGGCCTTGAACACTTCCAGGGATGGGGCAGCCACAACTTCTCTGGGCAACCTCTTCCAGTGCCTCACCACCATCTGAGTGAAAAATTTCTTCCTTATATCTAATCTAAATCTGCCCTGAAAGAGGTTTAAATCCATTGCTCCTTGTCCTATCACTGCACACCCTTGCAAAAAGTCCCTCTCCAGCTTTCCTGTAGGCCCCCTTTAGGTACTGGAAGGCTGCTATAAGACCACCCCAGAGCCTTCTCTTCTCCAGGCTGAACAGCCCCAACTCTCTCAGTCTGTCTTCAGAGGAGAGGTGCTCCAGCCCTCGGATCATCTTTGTGGCCCTCCTCTGGACCCGCTCCAGCAGCATCATGTCCTTCTTGTGTTGGAGACTCCAGAGCTGAATGCAGTATTCCAGCTGGGGTCTCACGAGAGCAGAGTAGAGGGGCAGAATCACCTCCCTCGACCTGCTGACCGCGCTCCTTTTGATGCAGCCCAGGATATGGTTGGCTTTCTGGGCTGCCAGTGCACATTGCCGGCTCATGTTGAGCTTCTCATCCACCAGCACTCCCAAGTCCTTTTCCTCAGGGCTGCTCTCAATCCATTCTCCGCCCAGCCTGTCCTTGTGCTTGGGATTGCCCCGACCCACGTGCAGGACCTTGCACTTGGCCTTGTTGAACTTCATGAGGTTCTCCCAGGCCCACCTCTCTAGCCTGTCAAGGTCCCTCTGGATGGCATCCCTTCCCTCCAGCGTGTCCACAACACCACACAACTTGATGTCATCTGCAAACTTGCTGAGGGTGCACTCGATCTGAAGTGATGTGCATGTAGGCAGTGACATTCAAGCCACTGCTTGGGAACACCTGGAGTGATGTATAGGCTGTGCTAGCTTAAGCTGAAGGCTTAAAGGTTGAAATCAATTTTAGTTTTCGCATCCTCTCTGATTTTCTGGTCCCACTGGCAGCAAAGAAAAGCTAAAACTGTCATCAGGAATAACAGATCCTGAAGAGAATTTCCATGAAGGAGTAAACTATAAGATTGAGGTATCCACCAAAGGTTGTAGGAAAGGAGAAGACTCACTTGGCACTGAACCACTCAGGCAGTTTCACCACAGACCTTGGATTAAGAACCTAGGCCTGTTCAAGCTATGGATAAAAGGAGAGGGCACTCCTGCCACTCCTTGAGGGGAAAAAATGCTGATCCTTGTCTCCTCACAGGCTGATAGGGATAGCGCCGTAGACAGTATGTTCTAGTACTGTGATTCCAAGTAATTTGGCTTATTTGCACAGTGTAAGATACACCTTTGTGTTGCTCATTATTATGGTGGTTTTGTCATTACAGCTAATAACAAACTAATTTGTCTGGTTTTATTAAGCAAAATATAATTATGCTCTTGATACGTTTCCCAATCTTCAGAGGAAGCCCGATTGTCAGCAGGAAGAAGCAGCAAGACTTGAAAAAGAGAGAATTGAACGTGAGCAGATGGAAAAGCTTGAGGCAAAAGTTAGTTCATACTCAATAGTTACTGGCAAATTCTAATCCCATTTCTAAACTTGTGATAAGGTCTGTAAAACATTATTATGTGAGAACGGAAAGGAATTTCCTTGTGTCCTTAGTGTTGGGAACAATGTAGAGGAGATTTTCTAGCATCACTAGATTAAAATTAATGCTGAAAATCTTAACTTTACAGTGGAAATTCCTGTCATTGAGTAATTTTTTGTGCAGTCAACTAGCTTTAATGTACCTCACTGAGATAAAATAGGAAACAAATTTCATAGTGTCCCTTGTTTTCTACATCTCCAAATCTCACAAAATTTCACAATAATTTAATCTGAAAACTCTAGCCAAATCGCCGAAAAGATACTCTTGTATAAGATCCCACAAATTGAGCAGGTAATTAAAGAAAACACAATACATGTAAAGTCAGGAAAAACGGTGCTGAATTTTTTTCTATAGTATTCTTTCATTAAGCCAATATTTGGCTTAGTGTTGCTTTGATTCAGAAAAACACTCCGAGACAAGATAATCTTGCCTGGTTTTGATGCTGTTGTTAAATACGTTGACTTGTGGCATGTGTGATACTGCAGTTTGAATAAATACTTTTTTTTTTCCATTTCCATCATGCTTTCAATGTGATGTATTTTTTTGTGGTCCACATAATTACATTTGGTACAGTTGTGGCCAGAAGATTTTTTATCAATTCTAGAAGTGGTTACATGTTAGGACAGATGCATGGATTTGTGTGTGTGCGTGTATCTATGTGTATGTGTGTGTGTATTTGGATATGTCTGCTTATTTTTCTAAGACAACAGAATTTAGAACAAAAACTATTTGGTAATATCCAAATATTTGTGTGTTGTTGTTTGTTTTTTTTTAAAAAAAGGAGATTTACCACAAGGTGGTTTTTTTCCCCCCGAGAAAAGTGTCACTCTTGCCTGTGCCTCTTGTCCTTCACAAGTTACTTTTTTTTTCCCTTAGAGAGAAGATAAATTTAAAATAATAGGAATTATAAGGAAAAAAATCATCTTGCACACATTTTTCCTACATATGCTTACATTTTTCTTCAGTTCTGTTTAGAGCCAGTTCCAGGGTGGCAATATGTTAACTATTCAAGTGAGAGGTTAACAATCACATGATGCATTATGTTTATCATATGGCTCAGCAACTAGTGTGGTGGCAATAACATATTGTGAACTGCTGCACTCTTCTCAATTAAACGTTTCATTAAACAGCAAGTTATCAATGTTTGGATTTGTATAAGTGATCGCTCATTAAAATATCCTAGTTTTTTTTCTTTGATATAAAATAATTCTAAGTAGCAAACTAAATATTTAACTCCTCTGTTTGCTATATGTGTGTTTTAACAGGATCAAGAACGAAGGGAGTCTGAACTAGCAGAACTTCATTCATTGGAACAGAAGTTTTTATCTGCACAGCAGTGGAAAACAGATTATAGAGCACGTGCAAAGGTAAGCTTTGCAAAATCTGCCCTGTGTCATAGAGTTTCAACGAGGAATAGACTTTAGGGTGTGTCTCCATTACAGTATCCAACAATGCTTCCATTTCTTGAACTTCGGTGTGTGCTATGACTGCATTTCAGGTTCCATCTCAGGGTAGTAACTGGCCATCCTCACTCTCCTATCTTCTGTGCTTTAGTGAACTCAGAAAAGAAGCACGGGCAAAGATAAGCCTGTCTGGCTCATGAAAGTACTCGGGCCCCACAGCCTACCCCAGGAGTCAAGAGGAATTGCAGTTTCAGATGTTCTGGTGTTTGTCCTTCCTTTACAATTTGTTTAATTCATTTTTGTTTAATTCTACTTTCAAACATTCCATAAAAAAGCTCTACTAGGGCTTAAAAATATTTTAGTAAAATTAGAGACCATTGACAATATTTGTTCCAGTGGTTCCTGGATGTCACAGGCCATCATTCGGAGAGAGGCTGGCCAAAACTTTGAAGGACACAGTGCAAATCTGGGTCAGATATCAAGACTCAAAATATGTGAAAATGCAGCTAAGAGTTAATGTCTGCAGTTTAGGGTGAGGTAGATGGACATTGCTTTATCACCTGATCATACTATATGCCTGTGAAGTCAAATTTTAAATAATAAGGTATGGAAATACACTAGTTGAACAGTTCACTCTTGTAAATCCATCAAACATCATGCAGTAGCTGTATGATTATGGCACTTGGTCAGTTTGGTTCCAAGTAATGTTAAATAGACTTCTAGACACAAGGATTTTTCTCTTTGTGTTGTACATCACTTCATCCTTTAGAAAGCCTCTGTGGAACAAATTTAGAATCGTAGGATAAATCATGTTAGAAGGGACTTCTGAAACTCATGTACTTCAACCTCCTGCACAAAGCAGGGCAAACTCTGAAGTTAGATGAAGGTGCTCAGTTGGGTTTTGGAAATTTCTAAGGATGGGGATACCACAGTATCTCTGGGCAACCTAGTTGGCAGCTTTACCACTCTCATTTTAATAATTTTTCTTTAAATCCAGTTGGCATTTCCCTTGTTACAGTTTGTGTTCTTTGCCTCTTTGTCATGATGCATCATCCCTGTGCACTTTTGAGAAAAGTTTGCCTCCATCTTCTCTATAACTCCTCTCTAGGTACTGGTGGATTGCACTTAGCTCCTCCCTTAGCTTTGTTAGTCCTCTCCAGACTAACAGCTCAGCCTTTCCTCATGTGTTGTTTCCTCTAGTACCCTAACTGTTTTAACGTCCCTCCTCTGGACTCTCCAATTTCCCATTTCTTCTCTTATACTGAGGGATCCAGAACTGGAGGCAGCCCTGCAGACGTGGCCTCAGGAGCCCTGCACAGGGACCAGTACTTGGCTCGCTGGTTACACTCTTCCTGGTGTAGCCCGCTGTGCCCTTAGCCTGCGTTCCACGAGGGCGCAGCATGATAAATTCACAGTTGCGTCTTGACATCTTTGGGTGAACTTTATTGCCTTTTTTCAGTTGATGGCAGCTTTTGACTTCATTATCCTTGTGAGCAAGAGAATCATAGAATGGTTTGGGTTGGAAGGGACCTCAAAGATCATCTAGTTCCAACCCCCCTGCCATGGGCAGGGACACCCTCCACTACACCAGTTTGCTCAAAGCCTCATCCAGCCTGGCCTTGAACACTTCCAGGGATGGGGCAGCCACAACTTCTCTGGGCAATCCAGTGTTTCTCCACCCTCATTGTAAAAACTTTCTTCCTTATATCTACTCTAAATCTGCCCTCTTTCAGTTTAAATCCATTGCCCCTTGTCCTATCACTACATGCCCTTGTAAAAAGCCACTCTCCTTTCCTGTAGGCCCCCTTTAAGTACTGGAAGGCTGCTATAAGATCACCTTGGAGTCTTCTCTTCTCCAGGCTGAACAGCCCCAACTCTCTCAGTCTGTCTTCATACCAGAGGTGCTCTGTCGGTCATTTTGAAAGGGGACAGTTGTTGTTTATGTATGTTTCTGAAGAGTATTTCCTGCAAGGAGAAACATAAAAATCTTTTTGTTTTGAAAAGTAATGGCAAAATAGAACTATTATTTTAAAAAATAAATCTTCAGATAAATTACTGGTAGATTATAGGAAATATCTAGTCTATTGTTAAGAATATTTAGGGCAAAAGAAATATATAATACCAAGTGCTGAGTTTCCACATCCATTTCTGAACAATTTCAGTTCAGATTAAGAGATACATTTACAAATTATCATGAAATTTATCCTTTTTCCTCAAAAAATAAATGCTGTGAATTTGAAGGATGTGTTTTCCTGATGACGAAACTGAAGCTCTCTTTTACATGCAAAGATGTTAAAAAGAAAAAGAAAAATAAATCAGATGTTTTAATTATAGGAGACTGATCGGTCTTTTATACAGGAGTTTCCAGAGCACTGAGCACTCACCTATTATTGCTTTTTTTGAAGTCAGTGGAAATGGTTATGGAAGTGGTTGGGAATGCAATCATACAAGCATTTTTGCTTTAAAAGGTTCATTTTACATTGTAATGCAGTCTTCAGTAACATTGCATTATTACTCTTCACATTAAACAGGGAGGCAGTGTTTCCTTAATAGCTTACTATATGGATGAAAAAGAGCGCCTTATAGGTGATAAATTGATCCCATGAGCCAATGTTCGGCTCATGTGTGGAGCTAAGTGCATTTAGCCAGTCGCAGATTTTTTTTTTTCCTTCTTCCGCCTGTAAGGATGATCAATAATTGATTTGAAAACAAAATTATTTTAAAAAAATAGGACTTCGCATTCCCACCAGCGGTGTCTGTAACAGCTGAATTGGTGCAGGTAAGGAGGAGGAAATCTCTGTCAGAGACAGAGAAAGGAGGAATAAACATGTTGGAGTAGAAGGCTCTTTAGGAGCTTTATTGCCAGTGTAGGAATACAGCCGTTTAGCTACAGATGCGAACGTATCACTATAATATATTTGTCTTTCAGAATCCTCTTTTTTCTTGTAGTAGTGATAGTCGTTTGCACCACATGCCCATACCTGCTTTTCTTTGTACGTTCTCGGCAGTGGGAGCATTACCTCAGTTGTGATGGCAGTCCCGACCCGGCTGTGCTGCAGGAAATAAACACTTTCATGAGCCTGTGGCGTGAAGATCAACATGAGGACATTCAGCTTGTGATGGAGAAGGGAGAACAGGTGCTAAATGTAAGTGTTACAATGGTATTTTTCAGTCCGAGCTTCAGCCTTCTTTACCTTCCTTTTTTTTTTTTTTTTTTTTTGGTTTGGGTGGTGGTGGTGTTGTTTTTCCGGGCAAATGACTGAAATTGGCCATAACCTTCCAAAACCAGTAGTTTTTCTTCAATTTTTACGTTGAGGTTTTTTTTTTTTTTAATTACAGATTTATTGTTAACTCTAAAGAAGGTAACTATTGACTTTAAACATGCAGTGCATTTAAGGGGTTTGTGTGGAATGTTTCTACGCTGAGCTCCAGTATTCCAACATCCTCTTCCCTGCTATTTTAGACAGTCTCGAGCCAGAACATACACACTCGTGTCATATGCAGGTCCTTCAGTGGGCAGCAGCCCTGTAGTGTAACACTGACAGCCAGTAAAGCCTCGTGTAAGAGCAGGAGTTCCCAGAATGCAGCCACCAACCATTGGTGGTTTGTGAGGCAATTTTAAGCCATTGGTGTCTGCTCTGTAAGTGTAGGATTTTGTTTTAATTTATTATAGCGTTTTTCAGAAAGTTAGATGGGGTCTTCTAAAAATGGAGAGATAAGGCGCATGCATAATGCAACTGTCAGTGGGCTGGTTTGGTTCCTGCTGTCAGATTTCTGACCTTGCAGCGCTCGCTGGGCGCAGCAATTTTCACCTTCCGCCTACTGCTTTTGTCTGAGCCAGTGGGGAATGTGCGGGTCCTTTCCAAGAAGTTCAACAGATAACTCCTCCCTTTCTCCTCCGCACTGCAACCCAAGCAAAAAGCCGGGCAGTTACCCACTTCGTTCCTTCTCACCACTCTCCTCCCCGCTGTCACGTCTGTCCCCCAGACTCACTCCCCCTCCCTGCTCCATGTTTCCCAGCCAACACTGAAGCAGTCACAGGACCTGTAAACACATCCTACCTTGCACTGTATGGTCATGGAGTATTATGTGATACTATAAGACAGGCATGTCTGTTTCACTCCTGCTGGAAATGCAAGGGGATGTCAAAAAATATTGGCTGTCTTCTCTTGCTCCAAAACATTGAAGCATTTCTTTCCTGTTCTCCGTGTTTTTAGAGGAAACTGTTAAACACTTCGAACTGTGAGATCACGTAGATCAGCAGTTGGGAGCTGACAGGGACCGCCTCACTGCCAAGGAAGGCCATGCTAAAGGTGCAATGTAGAAAGACCGTAGTAGTTACGATTCTGCAGTTACAATTCTTCAGTGAGCAGTGGCACTGCAGTGCCACAGGCTCAGAGGAAGAAGAGTCTGGCAAGTCTGGGAAGGAGGCATGAAATATAATCTGATCCTCCCTTTGTCTCAGTGCTGCAGGTCATTTTGGCCAACTAGGAATTTTTTAGTTCTATACAAGCACTCAGATGGTAAGATACTAGCATGTAGTGGAAGACAACAATGTTGTGACAGAGTTCCAAACTTCATGCTAAGGATCTTTCTGGGAATTTAAATGTAATTGCTGTGTGTCTTTTTATTTTTATTTAAAATTTCGTAGTTCGGATTATTACTATGGAAAATATGGTTCAGAAATAAATCTGTAAACTTTTCCTCAAAACTAATTTTTGACCAACAGATTTCCTCATATAATCAATCCAGTTCAATAAATGATCTGTTTCATAAGCTAAGATTTCACAGCCCACAGGTTAAGCAATGAAGAAATTGGACTAGAGGAATGAAGGAAGGCAGACTTGACCCTGGAATTTCCAGCACTTTGCCTGGTTGGATGTCTGTCTGATAATGCCATCTGAGCACAATTTCTAGAGGTGTAAGAGAAAAAGATTATTTCTGCAACTAAGATAGGTTTAGGTACCGAGGAAGCAAGTTGGCCTCATTTTTTTGTGACAGAACACACAGTATATTAAGGGTGGTGTCAAAACAGAGATGCTTTCCCCATATATAATGTCTTCTAGCTAATCGAGAAGTTGCAGTTTCTTTTATTGGACACATCACCAAATGAGATAACAGAAAAAGAAAGAGTCCAATACCAGGAATCTATTCTGGAATTGCAGAATCTGCTTCATCAGAAGTACAATGGAGCTACAGAGCACCTGCTTAAAGTAAGTAAGATGTACTACTTCGAAGCTGTGATATGCACAATGCATACAAGGGTAGCTACAAGTGTCTTGTTGTGATGGTTGGTTTTGTTTGTTCTTAAATTGGCACAGAGATTAGTATTTGAGTTTCCAGATTTAGCATTTGAGTTTCCAAATCAAGTGTACAGCAGATACCAGACTTGTAATTCTGCAAAGCCACTGAAAATCTGGAAATTCCTGTCATTGAGTCATTTCAGATTAAATTATTGTGACATTTTGTGAGATTTGGAGATGTTGAAAACAAGGGACACTGTATGAAATTTGTTTCCTATCTCAGTGATGTAAATTAAACCTAGCTGACTGCACAAAAAATTGCAATCTGAAAAGCGGGTCATGAGGTTAGCTTGTACATATTTTCTAATGCAAGTCCATATTGTGGGAAAATGACTGAAATCGATGGGGAATGGGAGAACATTGTTCCCTAGAATTCAAACTAATATTAGAGCAGCTCTGACATGAAGCACAGCTGCTGCTCTCAGGAATGAACAAGGCCTCAATATCCTTGAGATGGGGAGGAGAGTGATACGAAGGTATCATGGCTCATCCCTGTTATCGGGGACAAGAAACAACAAACAAGGCCCACGCAATACCCTTGAAATGGGGAGTAGAGTGATACAAAGGTATCACGGCTCATCCCTGTTATCAGGGATGAGAGGCGCCTGGTAAAGATAACCATAAAAATGCCATCAAGGAAAGTGAATCACAACCGCTGCCTCAGCAGTGATGGCGAAATTGTGTCCTTCAGCTACGAAGTCACACCTCCACCCGCCTCCGAGCTGCGACCACCCCTCAAACGAGCAATTTACACCAATCCTAATAAAAGTTATGTATGACTAGAGTCACTCGAGCTCCACCTAAAAGATACGAAAAAGGTATAAAATGGCAGCAAACAAAGGGGATGCTAGGGAGAAGCCCCCCCCACCGGAACGTCTGGGATCAGTCGACGGGCTGAACCTCTCTTCTCCCCCCCATAGGGACGCCTATTGGGTAAGAACTCTGGGTTATGCGCATTTACTTAATTACTTACTAACATCTTGCTAGATATTTAATATTATCACTGATCAGTAATCGTTTTATATTATCACTGCAGTATTTCAATTAAAGTTGTTTTTGTAGTCAGTCACTATCACCGGCTATCCTCGAACCTGTATTCTGTCACAAATAAAATATATATGCATGTTTCCGGAAACTTTTGAATTATTATAAGGAGTTGGCCCATAGTATTACTAGTGACAATCCCTAATAAGTGGGCGAATCACCCTCCGACTCACTGAGCTGCCAAGAGAGGGCAGGGGGAGTCGGGCCCAAGGGTCTCGTCTAACTTGGGAGCTGGTATACTGGCCAAATTACCTCCTGTTTGTCTATTAGGTAGGGAACCCACGATAAGTCAGACGAATCACCCTCCGACCT